CCGTACTTTTTGTTTCTGTGATACACCGTAGAGTAAAAACACCGATTATAAAAACCACTTTAACTCTCTGCTATAGTGATAGGTCGAGGTCACTGAAAAGGTGAAGACACTGTTTCATATAACAGTAGAGACTCATAGAGCAATACTTTGCAGTACTCGATAAATCTTTTTTCAACGTTGCTGTACTTTATGTATTGCATTAAATTGTATTAAACTTGCACTGAGCTTTATGCTGCGTATTTTACCTGCAATGACTGTCCGTATTCGCGTTGGAAACGATTTAGCGAATTGGCAGTACTGTTGCTGGAGCTATTGGAAATCGCGGACTGGTTTGCAGAGATTGAAAACTAAAATGCTTTCATTCAGATAAAAGTCATTCAGCCAATCATTGTCTGGTTTGTTACGTATAGCGAGTTCGCTAATGCGCAATTTAAAAGCATTGGCAAACACGCGTATCCTTGACAAATATCACTTTGAGCCTGCCGTCAATGATACAGCTGACTGTAAAGATGTTTCATGGCAATAAACAGGGCACACTGAATTTTAGAGAAATCCCACAAGCAGCGCAATGGCTGCACTAAGACATAAGTTTCGATTTACACTAGTATTGCATAGAGAATGACGCAGACAAGTCATAACATCAGGTCACACCATAATGACCCGCTGCCTGAGCATTTGAGGAGCAGGCCACTGCTCGTGATACATGAGCATCTACGGTGTGTAGATTTGCTTAAGCATAATTGTGTTGACTAGAGCAATGGGCATACCCGGGGCGCGGTGACAATGGAAACAGAATGGCTTCGAATTCCGCTGGTGTTGAATTCCAGTGCCAAGAACGGAAAAAATTGGCTTAACCCGTAATTCCCTTAAACAAGGAATTTATCACATGTTACTTAGGTGTAACCAGTCGAGAAACGGTCCATTGACTTGGCGAATAACAGGAGGCGAACATCAGGGAAAGAATTGTATTCTTCACTGATCATACCTAAATCGATGAGAACTATGGCGGGGCTGTCTGACCAGAGCCATTTGGTAGATCCCCAGATTGCGAATGAGGGAATAGTTCCAAGACATAGAGGTCAACTGTGATGAACAGACAACCGTCTACAGGCAGCGGTGGACATTATTAGGGCGTTGCTGATGATGGGTTCAGCAAACCCGTCACGTACATATAAGAATATGACGGCCCCATCACAAGTCGAGCATAATCCACAAGTAATGAAGACACCAGCGTTGTAGATGCTTTGCGACTAGATCTCTGAATGTCAAAGGCTAGTATAGGCAACTTCGGTAATGAAATAGGCGGCAGTTGGAAACCCGTCTATACTAGCTAACACTAAGAAGGTTCATGAAAATTATTCACAACGCTCTTCAGCAGTTGTCCGAGGTGTCATGGGAGTCAGCTAAGCCAGTGATGGTCACATCCGTAACAATAACAACAACCTGATAGTTAACTATCCTGTGTGATAATCAGAAAAAGGTATAAACTAGTACAAAATATTCAAGGCACTAGAGGGATTTGTGATTCAAGCAAACTCACGTGATCGTAGTGCCAATCAGAATGAATTGTTAACCCATAACCATTATAACACTATTAGTTTTTGGTTGTATAACCATATGACAATATAAAGTGCACACTGAATTTTGTGAAGTTTCATCACCTGCGCTACGGCTGGAATAGGACATGTTACAGTTCTAATCTGAAGCCTATGATTTGCTAAGTGCGTCTTTGCTAATTTTTGTTAAACTTGTCATCGCCACAATTCCTAAATATCGAAAATGCCCTGATCGGTTAGTTACGACCTGGCTCAAACGTGCAGCACAGATTTACATTAAATATACTCATCAATACAAACAACATCCACCAGCGAGCGACGTGCATTCCTTGTTCGTAATTTCGTTCATCAGTTTTGTATTCAGGCTGAACAGTCATGCATGAGTAACATTTTCATGCTGAAACGAATTGTAGAGCAACATGTGAACTT